CCGCCGCCGCCTCCCCTCCAACCCTGCTCTGGAGATGGAGCCGTCTACGAGGCCTTTGTTTACAGTGAGAACAGCGGGGATATAAAACTCACATAAATATCACACGGCTCTCTCATCTATAGAGACGCCTGCTCGCTCTCTCCAGCACACTGGCCGCAGTGTGTACCCTGAATGTATAAAGAGCCCGAGGCCATTTGATTTACTACTACGTCCTGATACTGTTTTGTAAGTCACATGTGACTGCAATCGCAATAGTTTGGTTGACTTTTTTATGGAGTCATGCGTGTTTTTTTTAAAGAACAACACAAATGTAAGCCTGGGAACGTACGATAACATCCAGCTGAGAATATACGCTGCTGCTTCGTCACATGATGAACAGTTCTTATGTATTTAGTACCGTTTAATTCACTTTAAATTAAATTAATTATGCTTTACAATGACGGCTGCAATTATCGGTTTGCGTCTGACCATTACATCCCCACACAAAACAAGAAAGACATGTAAATTGTGCTCAGCTTGGGCGCATAAATGTGAGGTTTTGGGATTTTTTTGGACTTGAGATCAGAATTTAAAAAATGTAATTCCAGAAAGACATCATTCATTTCACAAGGAAATGACCAGAAGCAGGTTTTCGATGAAAGAAAAAAAAAAACACAAAACAAGCAAAAGCTGCTGATTTTCTCTTTTTCAGACGCACCAATGAAGCGGTAATGAAATAATGACAAATGCATGCTGTAATTTATCTTATCTTTAATCTCTTGAGGTCAGATGGGAGCGGAGCCGAACCAGATAACAAAGAACGACTAGAGGCCACGAGCGTCGTGCCAAAAAAAAAAACACCCTTCGACTTCGGGCTTCAAAAAAAAAAAAAAAACTGGCTTACTGCCCCCCTTTTTTTCAAACGCATGATAAAAAAGACTGACCTGGCTGCTCTGCGGGCTGGACGGGTCATATGACGGCACGTAGCTCTTGAGGGGATCAGCAGGGTTGAGGTGGGGCGGGTAGCGGATGGTGGTGTGCGAGAAGTAAGGCGACGGCGCCGGGGGCAGGATGGCCGAAGCCGAGAACTGCAGGGGCGAGTGCGGAGGGGGGCTCCTCGTCGATATAACTGCAAGAAGAGGATAGAGTGAGCGAGCGGGATAAAACAATCATCATTGATCTCCGAGGCTGGATTAAGTGCATCGATGGATTTTCTTTTTTTTTTTTTTTTGAGGACAAGATGGCTCCGGACTGAACTCACCACTGTGTCCTACACCTGTTAGGCCTGGGTGATGAGGCTGAGGGAAAGTGCTGAGTCGTGGTGATGAGTCCTGCGGGGAGGTGGGGCTGAACAGCGGCTTCTCTGGCTTCTTCATGGTGGGAGAGGACATGTCTGCTGGTGGGGAAACACAGAAATGCACGCTCACGGTTAGAAAGCAACTCAAAGGTTATTGCACAAACACCTCCCTATAGCTTCTGCTAATGCGTCCATTTCTCATGAACGAAAGGAATTAAACGCCAAAAAGTGAATTAACACAATCAAGCAGCAGAATCTGATCTGCTCGGGATTAGCTCACGATGAAAAACGTGCTTGGCAAATTACCGGGTCAGAATCACACATAATCTCAGCGATCGGTATAAATCGCCGGACATCCCCGAGAAATGAAAAATGTGTCTTTCGTCATGTCTGAGCAGACGATTAAAGCCGGCCGAGTGACACGCAGTTGTAAAAGCAGCTGGTCGCTCAAATGGGATTTAAGAATTTCCAGACCCCCTCACGTAAATAGAATATTACACTGTTACGTCTGCTTTGCTCGGCGGAGTCCTGACGAGCCGCCGTAGCTCCCCACGAATAATCCCGCAGGGCTCAAGACGTGAAATTTGTTTAGGAAATTTCTATAAACTGAAAGTACGCGCACAAACTCAACTTACAAGTCGCTCATTATTGCTGCTCTACACTTTCATGAGCAATGTTCTGCTGTCACGGCTGCGCGGTTTTCAATTTTCCATGGTAAGACACACTGTCTGAAGGGAACGTGATAACAAATAGATGCGAGAGGCAATGGCCTATGTCTGCCCGTGCTTCCTCTATGAACATTCATCAAGTGCTTTTCTGGTCTGTCACAGATTCTTGGGGGTGTATAACTTCCACATCATCCATCTCTTTCCCCCCTCAAAATAAGCTGTGTAAAAACCCCCCATTCTTGATGCATTTCTATAGCATTAACCGTCCTCGCCTCCCTTTTTCTCAAAAGCAGGATCCAACCCGAGGAGTGACGGGGGGAGAAGAGAGAAAGAAAAAAAAATCACTCATCTTCAGAGGAGAGAGCGACAAAAGGTGGCTGGAATTCAGGGGGATTTCCCAGGCTGAGGTTGCAAGAGGATACAGGCTTAAGTGCTTTCATTTTGTGTCAGAGGGAGAAATACCTTCGAGAAGATTTATATCGCTGCTTAATGTTTTCATTAAAATAGGAAATATTTTCTGCACAAGCGGCATTCAGCCTCTGGTCCTGCTAATTAACTCCTTCAGAGACCGTTGAACTGGACGATTAATTAACAGACGCTTCAAACAAAAAAGTGTCCGTTAGATCAGATCTTTTCGCTTTAAACGGATAAACGTGCAGCTAGAAAAGAAACCTAAAGCGCGCAGCACTTTCCCAGAGCAAGAAACACGAGAGAGAAACAATTTCTTCCACTACATGGTGAGGTTTTGTCGAACGACAACCATGTGCGCGACATGACTGCTTGGCATTTGGGAGGACTCATATGGGTTTAATATCACCCCACTTCTCATTTATTCTCTCTTGACAGAATAATGGCTGTCTTTGGAGAGTTTCCTACCCACTGCTTTCCCTTTCTCCTCGCCCCAAGTGTCTAAGTTTACGCAGTGCAATACTCTCCGGCCTTGTGCACAGGGACACGCTGAAATTTTCATGTACCCACAATGGGTTGTGGCTGAATCCCACCAGTGCTGTGTCTCTGGTGTATCATCTGGTGTTTTCCTCTCCCAGCCTTCCTACTTATTATATTAAAATGAAAAAAAAAAAGAGGAGGAGGAGGTGTTCAAAGTTCAGATTCAAGCTAAAAAATAACCACAGCAGCAGGCTTCTTATTTCCAATGACTCGGTCTGCCACAGTTAAGAAGAAACTACCGCCTCTGCCGGCGAGATCCAGATGCAGCGCGGGCATCCGAGTGTTGAAGGAAGTCAGCGGAGAGCGAGAATGATCCGGAAACATGGGACAGTGAGGCCTTAATTAAAAGGGCGACAGGTTCTGCACTGCACCGGGAGACGACGTAATGAGACATGCAAGCTGTCTTGTGAGGATCTTGCTCTTGCGTGGAAACAAGCGTGCACACGTCTCTATCTTTTTCTAGCTGTAAGCGACACACATGGGTACGCTTTGTGTATGAATCCATCAAAACTCGACCAACTGATGAAAGTTCAGCCACAGAACTCATGCGACACATCGGCCCTAATCGCTCGATGTGATTTCTGCTCACAAGGTGTTTTCAAGTTTCTGTTTGACGATAACGTCTGAACGCTCATAAATAACACTTGTATAAAAGTGAGCCTCGCATTATGGAGCTCATCAGGAATGCGACGTGTTGTTGACTGTGATACTCAGCATTGTGGAATCCAGCGATTCCTTTGTGTAAGCGACAGGTGCAGGAGAATAAGAGATTTACAGTCAAACTGCAGTTCAAATGGGTTTAAACATTTATATGACTGTTGATGCCTGAGGCTATCTCTGACATGGTATGTATTTTAAGAGGGTTGAGCAAGTTCACGAGCGGAGAAACCAGATGCAGGTCATCCGCAATGAAAAGGAACGGCGGTACGGAGGAGCACGACGAGGCCGGAGACGTAAAAAAAAAAGAGCTCGGTAGCTGTGGTGCGAGGTGCCGGCTTTGATCGAATCTGTTTGCACGCGACAAGGATGGAAGATCTTCTTATCCTTCAGCAAATTCTGTCAACATGCTCTTGTGCAACGCTGAGCTCTGCAAAGTTGCACTCTGGATGTTTGCATAACTGCATGAATGTGACGGAGGGTGTTACTGGCAAAGTGCACTCATGCCTGATGAACCTCCCCAAGGTAAATAAAAAAAGCGGTCAAATAAAAACAGGAAAATCACCTCCGTCTCTATCGTGCCAGTTCGCCCGACTGCTGGCTGGTGAGCTGGGTGACGAGTAGAAGTCGGGTCCTGTCGGGCTGGTGTCCATGTTCTCCTCCATGTTGGTTTTGGGCCTTTTGCTGCGGAGCACACGGAAGAAGTTTGTGGCTCAACAAAGGCACTCATTCATGCATTTAATTTGCGCTTCACAGTTTTTAGGGTTGCAAGGTGGTGTCAGGAGTGTCTGGCAAGGATGCATTTGCATTATGAGAAAGTTTGGCTAAAGGGATGTGTTGACAATTTGGTAAATACCCAGATTTGGTTTGTTGTGTAGAGTTAAAGAAGACTGATAACACTCTGATGTAAAGGGACATTATTTGACTATTTCTTTGGACACCCAGTCTCACAGAACACCATCAAAGACACCTACTGAGCAACAACTGGTAATATAAGCCCTACCATTCTAGACACAAAAAAGACTCCTTTAAATACGATCAGTCATACAGCAGAGCTAAAATATACTTTTATTTATATCTTAAAGGTGCTGATAATTGCTGTATTCCCTCAATAAGTGAGGCACTTTGTTCCCTTTGGATGATGATTTCTTTAGAAAGCAACTATTTAGGAAAGGAATCATTAAATTAAATTTTTTTTAAAGAATTGTAGGATATAATTTTGTATTTAATCTGAATAAACTAGAAGATGGTTAGCTTAGCTTAGCATAAGAGCTAGCACAAGCCAAAGGTTGCATTTTCTGGTACAAGTGAGACATAATGTGCTAATTATTAAGCTTTAGAGGTACACATTTTTAATACTGGACAGAGTCAGGCTTTATGCTAAGCTAAGCTAGCAGTCATATCATTGCATAAAAGCAATGACTGGCATCATTATTATTTCACCTGAAAAATAAATATATAACAACATCTTCAACGATCATGCGCTGCCCTTGACATAACTTTAACGAGAGATTTGCGCTAATTACACGAAATAAGAGCAAAGTCACGACAAAATCTGCTCTGCCGGTGCAGCTTCCACTGACCTGCCGGGAGGGGAGGACAGGGAGCGATGCAGTCCCACGCTGGAGTTCAGGTCATGGTAGTAGGGTTGGCTGGGCATGTCAGCCATGGAGAAATTCACCGCTGCTCCGTGGGTGATGGGCACTGTAGAGGACACAGAGAAAAAAAAAAAAGACGGAGTTCAATGTCAGAGCGAGTGCTGTCTTTCTCTATCCCCGCATCTAGAGACGCACAATTAATTGCACAATGGCTTGACTGACTGTTTATTGACGCTTTGCGTTTAGAGGCATTGTGTATCAAATTAAGCGCTCCCTATTGACAGGTTAACAGTCTGACCATCACAGGCGTTTCTGCTGAGCACTGATTAACAAGTCGGCCAAAGTGGTTGCGGCTGCAGGAGAGAACACTTTGAAGAAACCTGCAGCTGCACTCGTACGCTGAATTATTATCATTACTCATGGTTGTATATATTAATGTGACCTTACCAAATGACAGTGAAATATGTTCCTTTTTTTTTTTTTTGGTGCCTCTGATTTTTTTCTTTAACCATTTGTAAACTACATTTTCTCCTCTTCTTCACAGCCCGCTATAACACTTAGCAGTCTCCTCGCGTAATGATTTACAGTGGAAAAGGTGTTGTTTTTCTTTCTGCGGTCAAGGTGAGGGATATTGTTTCACGGGAGGCCAGGCCTGTGTTTACAGAACAAAAGGGGTTCACCACCCATCCTCGCTCTCTCTCTCTCCCCCTTCCTCGTCTCTCGGCTTCCCTCTCTCTCTCTCTCTCTCGGCAGTGTGTGGCCCGCGAGGCAGCCTGCAGCTCGAGCGGTTGGTTGGTTTGGAGTGGATGAGAGGATGGAGTGTGTGGCGCCGTCTGTTGTGGTCTGAGGTTCACCACTGGCACGATCCCTCCGCCAGCCTCCGCCCTGGCAGCCCACTGCAGCCCTGGCAAAGGCCCCTACCCGCTGCTACCCATACCGAGCTGTCTGTGGAGGAATGCATCCGGCCCGAGGACGCTGAATACAAGACCATTGTTTTATTTCTTTTTTTTTTTTTCATTCATGGCTTAGGATACCCCCAACCATCTCTCTGTGTGCTGGTCTCTCTTTAGCGCTCTTTCTCTCTTCTTGGCTCGCCGCAATATTTGTGATGCCACTTGGCCACCCTGCCAATCATCTCATTTATTAATCTGGGCTTTGACTTTTCAGCCAAAAGGAGAAAAAAAAAAAAACTGTAAATCAAACAATGATGCTGCAAAAAAAAGCAATCATTTGCCACACTGTGCTGCTTCCTCCAGATTACCTCATCCTACTGTACGAGGAGAAAACTGAACGTCCTGCAAAAAAAAATGTTTTGCTCGAGTTCAGCTCAAGAGTTTCATTTCGCCCGTGCATGCCCACGTTTTCTGTTGACAAAATATTTTTACACTTGCAGTCGGGGCTCCTGTTGCATTAATGAGTGTCCTCGTCGAAATGCTGGATTGCAAGTCAGCCTTGAACTCCGCAGCTCCCTTTGATGGACTTCAAAGAATGTCTCAACAGCCCGGAGAGTTGGGAGAGAAGCGCGATGACGGACGAGCGGCTGCTTAGATATCTTCCCAGGGAGCGACCGGCTGAGTGAGTGACAATTCCTGTGCGTCCGTCGACCTTTTTAAAATTCCAGCTCAACTTCAGTCGGCTTTAGTGAAACCAGGCTCGGTCACATGAGAGCAAACATGGCAGCGTAGTGGCCATCTGGTCAGGGGGCAAATTAAACGCTAAACAAAAACACAGACTTTCAAAAGGATATTCGGTCTCTGAGCGCCGAGACGGGCAAGTTTTGTCTTTCCGAGCACATTGTGCGAGACAATCACGACGATTTTGCATCAGGAACATGCAGGAGATGAACAAGTTCAGCGTTAAATGCTGTTTGTTATTATGTAAGCTGGACAATAGGATGAGTTTTCGGACATTGTAAAAATAAAAGCCTCATTAAATTTCATCTCTTTAGTAGTTTGATGTGCTGGTTTGTCACTTTAAGGCTGCCATTAACCTTTATTAGCTATTTTTTTGACTCATCTTTAGCGTATAAAACTGCTCAGCATAATTTCCCAGAGCCTGACACATTAAAACTGCTCGCTTTGTCTAACCCAAATATATTCACATAAAGCTCACATTTGTGAAGCCGCAGCTGACATTTTTGCTTAATAATTGATGAAGCATCACTCTAATATTTAGAGGGAAATTCAGTATGGTGATTAGCAGAATTTATTTCATCCCTCTCTCCACCCAGTGTGCCTTCAGACTGACCACAGCGCACACAGACAACGGCGCGCTTCTGGTAAACACAGGTTGTCGAGGGCGACTGGAGTCTTTGTGCACCGCGGGCACGTTCGCCGGAGCTCGGAGGCAGCACAGGTAAACGGTGCCTTGACGTGCCCCTCAGTTATCACAGGACTCGCCGAGGAGCAACTGTCAACAGCTCTGCAGAGAGCAGACATGTCTATACAGATGAGCGCAGGCTCGCACAGACAGCTGCACGCTCAAGTGTTCCCTCTTTATTGCAGAGCGGGCCGGCCAGGTTGCAGTAAATGCAACAGTCGACGTGTAGATCTTTAAAGAAAAACTGCATTGCATGGAGCAGTCGAGGAGAAAAAAAAAAAAGGAATCAGGCGCTATTATCTGTATGGAAACAAGTGAAGGCGTTAGTCTCTTCACACCCACGCAGGTGCTGTCAGTTACATCACCTGATTTGCCCTCTTCTTATCACCGTGCGAGCATGTATAGGCCGTGATTGAGCCGACAGCTTCCTGCGTCTCATTACCTCAGCTGCACCTGTTACACCTATAAGTAGCTTTGGTGTCTTAATGTGACCCCCCCCAGTTTAGCTCCACCCGGCTTCAACCCGGGTTAATTCAGCGTTAGGTGAATTAATAGCTGAAAATACCTGTGTGGGCGCGAGGGTATGTAAGTACAACACATCAAGGCCTCATCCACACGTAGAAGGGTTGTTGTTTTTTTTTATTTAAATGCTATTTGTTTAGGCTTTACATGCACATGTAAACGCAGCTTTAGCATGCTGTCAGCAACCCTTTTTGAAAAGCAGGGTGAAGATTTTCTGAAGCAGTGTTGATACGCCGACAGGAAAAACAGGGCGCGCGAGGTTATCTCCTTTTGTGAGCCGATTTTGTGCAAATGTGGCCTAAATAGCTGCTGCTGCTGCTGCTAACCTCGCTAACATGACTTCTTACATGTACAGCACATACATGCACAGTTACAGAGGCATCCGATGCTGTATGCTTCCTGCCCCCCCCCTCCCCACGTTGTTGATAGCCTGCCAGAGGTCCAGCCATTTTCCAGGCTTCTGATTGGTCAACAACTCCGCAGCGGTAGAGTTGCTGCATCGTCGCCTATTGATTTGGCATGCTCTCAAGTTGGTTTTTGTTTGAGAACGAAGAAGAAGAAGAAACGCATTTCAAAAAAAAAAAAAAAAGAAATACCCGTGTGGACTCGGCCTGCAACAATACAACAGCTGTGTACTTACTTCTGGACACTCGCACCAGTTCTGCAACACTGAAGACTCCTGATTTGATGAAACTGTCTTCCAAATATACTGCAGACAAAAGGACCATGAAGACAAATTATGCGGCGATTATTGTAGCTGCGATCATCAGTTAAACACATCTGAAATGCTCATATGTGGAGGGTTTTTATTTGTGGGGTGTAAAATGAACACAAACACTTAAAAAAAAATTGCATTTGACGTATTATTTTTTCTTTTATTACTGTTGGTATTTGTGTTTATTTTATCTTTTTTTCTAATTGTTTTTTTCTTAAATTTGATTTGAATAATATTTTGGAATTAGGACAGAACATGATGATAAATTAAAGACAAATAAACAAGTATAGATCATTTAAGATATTTTAAAATGAAGAAACCGTCGACCGCTCATCAACCGTCCTTTTCTTTTTCATCCAGCATTTTTACTACCGTGACATTTTAGTCGCTAAGCTGAGAATGAGTGGATTGTGGAAAAAACAGTTGCTCCACTTGTTTTTCATCCGGCGAGGTTTAAACCAGCACACGGCGTAAAACCATTCTGCCCGGCGCGATAAAGAGTGACAGGACAGGTGTGCGAGGAGGAGGGAGAGCCACGCGGCGGAGAGCTGCTCGTACGGTGAAAAAAGTAAAACTTAATAACTGCCAGCGTTAATGCTGTTATGCTAAGATACAGTATTACAGCGAGAAACAACCCATCCAGGAGTGTAATTTACTGTCGTGCTGATATTAAAGATTATTTCGAGAATATGAGACTGCTTCATTCTTTCCAAAGTAAATAAACTGCTTTGGGTTGTTTCAACACAGCCTGATTTTTTTTTTCTTTTTGTTTTCAGAAAACTATTTTTAGGGCTAAATAAAGTACAGTCCTAATGTATTCTGTTGGTACATTTGTTGAGAACTGCGTGACCTGCTCAGGACTCGGCATCACTAATCAGAGGCTGTCAGTCAACTAAAACAGCCAGACAAGTTATTGACACCCAAATGACTCCGGCTCCGCTTTGATTCCATGCCAAGGGCGCTCGGTCTGTGCCAGAAAGATAGACGGGCATCTCGATTGGCACCTAAAAAGCTTAATGCCTCCAGTGAGCCAACGGCTTTTACAAGGAACTGTGCCACTGCCGAGGGCCTCCCAGGCCTGAGTCATTGGCTCGCTAGCATGTTTTCCTTGGCACCGGTATCAGCAGAACCTGCTCTTGAGGTAGAAAACTAATTATACTTCTCAAACTATTTTCATTCCAACATTGTGACGACACAGCGCAGGTCAGTCCAGGGGAACAACAGCACTGTCAAAGAATATTCTCCACGGCTCGGCTTTGCTGGCTCACCTTGACGCACTCAGCTAGCAGCCAAAAGCGCAATCTGCTGTAACATTTTCACTCCGGATCTTGAGTGTCTCTTGCTTTTTTTTTTTTTTCTTTTCACAGTATTTAATGTTGTCACTGGAGCGATGACAATTCAGTTTTAAAGAGGTAATGAAATTTTTATTCCTCCTTAGTCCGCGTAAAGTTAAAACCTTGGGCCTCAGGTAGACTTTAAGTTTTAATTTTACACAATTTCACCACATATATCAGGTTATATTAACTTTTTTTTTTTAAATCAATGACCTC